GGAGGAGGAGGAGGAGGAGGAGGAGGAGGAGGAGGAGGAGGAGGAGGAGGAGGAGGAGGAGGAGGAGGAGGAGGAGGAGAGGAGGAGGAGGAGGAGGAGGAGGGAGGAGGAGGAGGAGGAGGAGGAGGAGGAGGAGGAGGAGGAGGAGGAGGAGGAGGAGGAGGAGGAGGAGGAGGAGGAGGAGGAGGAGGAGGAGGAGGAGGAGGAGGAGGAGGAGGAGGAGGAAGGGGGAACGAAAGGCCGACTGCCCATGTTCTGGATTCTAGTCCCTTATTGCTGCATGCTCTGCCTTGCTTGATCATTTCAGCGACGCCGTCCCTTGAGCAACTTGGGCAAGGCGGCAACCGCCGCCCCTGCCCCCAGCGCCCTTCGGGCCCGAGGCACGACGGAGCCCCCTCTGGGCCCATGGGAGGGGGACAAACATCGGAATTCGATGTGTGGCCACATCCACCTCTCCAAACTTGGTTCGCCAGCAGCCCCAGTGGGGGTGTACGCGGTATCTTTTTCCTCCCCCCGGGGGAACACTACCTCCCTCACTGCTTGAAGTCGTGCGGAAGGTGCAATCGTTCCTGCTCCCGACAGGGCAGCGGGAGTAAAGGGAGGGGCGGATGGTCCCTTCTTTCTCCTGCTTGCTCTCCCGTGTGCCTGCCTCCTGGTCCCCCAGCCGCTCTTCGCTCTCCCCCTCCCCCGTTCCCGGGCTCTTCGGGCTTCCCTCGGAGCTCCACCAGGAGGCGCAAGTGAGGCCCCGAAGGGGCTTCGGCCATCCTCCAGGGTCTCTCGTGGCAGACCCGTGGCTGTACCTGGGGCGCTGACGGCTGGCGCCGTGCCGAAGCAGCAGACCCTCCACACGGGTCCTGTCCTCTCCTGCTCGCCCCTCCCCCCTCCAGCGCAGTCCTGAGCGAAGCCCCCAGGTGCCCCCCCCCCCCGTAGGGGCGCGAGGGCGATCGCACCGCGTGCGCAGCGGCCCAGGCCAGGGAGCTGCCCTCCTACAGGGCGGCGGCGCGACGGCGCGAAGAGACCCAGGCATCCGATGCCATGCTTTTGTTCAATACGGGGTGCCCAGGAGTCCCAGCCCTTCCCCGAGGGCCGACTCTTCGTCCCGGGGCCTGGGCGAGCCCCCCCGGAGGCCCAGAAGTGTAAACAGACCGAGGGCCGTGCGCGGCGCAGCCCCGTGGCTCGGGTGGCGCGAAGGCAGGCGACCCCGCTGCCCCCTGGGCAGGGCTCGGGGCAGCCCTGGGCCAGAGCTGCATTTCTCCAGTGCTCACGCAGCTTGAGGCACATCTCGATGCCTGTGTTTGGCATCGCCTTCCCATCGGCGCCGATCTTCAGGGCTCCCTCAGCTTTTGAGGGCACACCCCCAAGATCGTCATCGCCTTGGGCTTGCCGATCTTAGGTGTAGGGATCAACTTCGAGGCTGGTGAAGGGCGTCTGCGCGCTGGCGCGAAGAGAGCCGCGCGCCGCGCACCACCGCGGGCGCGGGGTGCGAGGCGGGGGCGCTCTCCATAGTCACTGCCTGGGAGGTCGACTTTCGGGGAGGCCTCGGCGGGCGGTGTGGACGTGCACAGATTCGCTTCCCCGCCCCAGGGCCTCACCGCGGGCTTCGACCGCTGCCCATGGCGCAGCGTGTCGCCCCAGATCCGTTTTTGATGCCCCCGGGGCCCGAGAGTGGCCCCGAGAGGCAGCAGGGGGGGGAAAAATCGGGGGGTGGCCAAGAGGGGGGCAGTGACAAGGGGTGGGTGGGTACAGTGGAGGCCCATGCCAAGAAACGCCCTGCTTGCCTCCAGGGTGCCCTGGGTTCCTTGAGCTTCGATGGTTTTGCGACGGAGAGCGGGACACGTTCCCAGGCCAACGAAACCACTGGACGTTCTGGGGTCTCAGGCTTGGGCTTCTTGCGGAAGGCTTCTCGTGGTCGGGCCCTTACACTGTAACGACGAGGGGCGGGTGGGCATCCCAGATCTCTCGCGGCCCCTTCTCTCCTCTTAACAAGGACGCCCCCCCTTGCCCCCCCCCCCCCCCGGGCGCAGCACGAGCCTCGGGCCACGGTCTGCGGATCCCGCTCCTGGACGCCCCCTCCTCTTGGGCGCCCTCGACGGGACCCTCCCCGAGAGGCGGCCGAGCTTTCGCGGGGAAGCGCCGCCGGTTGGAGCAGCCTGCGGCAACGCCGCCGGTGGGCATCCCGGATTTCACGGCCCCTTCTCACCACCCACCAAACCACCCCAACCCAACCCGAAGGCTCAGATTTACCCTCGATTTCCAGTGGTGGGGGGGGTCGGGAAACATCGAAAAAACACACGTGGAACCCTTACCCCCCCCAACCCGAAATTCGGGTCTTCGGGTTGGGTTGGGGTGGTCTGGCAGGTAGTCACCTTCTCCTCTTCCAGGACGCCCCCCTTTGCCCCCCCCCTCCCTTCCCTGGGGCGCGGCACGTGCCGCGGGCCACGGCCTGCGCCTCTCCCGCTCTCCTGGACGCCCCCCCTCCGCCGCCCTTGGGCGCCCTCGACGGCCCCCGCGCCCCCGAGGGAGGCCGCGCTCGTGCGGAGAGACGCCGCCCGTTGGCACAGACTCACAGCGTCGGAGGCCGAGGGCCGCGCGCCGCGCGCCGCTCTCGGGGGCGCGCGAGGGCGCGTCGGGTGGGGGTTCCGGCGGCCCCCGCGAAGCGGGGCCCGTCGAGAGGCCTCTCCCAGAGATGGGGAGTCCGAGCAGGGGGCATCTCTAATGAGGCACGTCTGGGCAGGCCCGGGCATTTCCAGGCACTCCGAGGCATCTCCTGGGCCCTCTCTCTCCCAGGTGGGGTCCGAGCAGGGGCATCTAATTAGGCACGTCTGGACAGGTCTGGGAGCATTTCCAGGCATTCCTCTATAGGCATTCCTGGGCCTTCTCCTGGGCATTTCTGGGTCCAGGCAGAGGGTGTCCGACCATTTCTGGGCACCTCCGGGCCTCCCAGATTCAAGCAGTGGCGAAGCGTCCTGGATTCAAGCAGTGGCGAAGCGTCCTGGTTCGCCTATAGTCCGACCAAACAATGTTCTAAGAACTTTGTGCGGTTCCCACGAACTGTTCTTAGAACATTTCTGGCTGGGACTGTCTTGTTTCATCACATCGGGGTTATGTTCTAAGAACATTGTTTCTGTTCTTAGAACATTTTGGGGTTCTAAGAACACTTCGTGGTAGGACTATAGGAATGCCGGGACGGTCGGTCCCTGCTCAACAGATAGGGTCGATGCGGAGTTTGCTTTTCTCCACGCTGACGTCGCCGATGCATCGGCGATGCGGCGCGATCCTGCGACCCCTACCCACTCGGAGTTCATCTGGGAGGCCTCTGTAGTTGAAGCGTCCAGCGTGCTCCCAGTTTTCCAGCTTCGCACTTTCCCTTGCTGCGGCGCCAACCCGCGGTGCCCTCGCTGGCGGCGCCTGCGGGTCCGATGTCCGATGCTTGGCGATGGCCCCAAACAGCCCGGCACGATCTCAATCGGACAAGGACAGACTGCACAAACATGCACTTTTTGGAGCTTCGCGCGGACTTCTTGGACGCCACAGTCGAAACCGATGAGGAGGGTGGGTAAGCTTCCCGAGGGGTACCTCGTGCATCCTTGCCTCTTGGGCCCATCCTTATTCCAGATTTCGTAATAAAAGGGAGGGGGTCTGGACCCTCCAAGACAAGCCATTGCAGACCCCCCCCGTGGGAGAACCCTCCAAAACATCGTCCCCAGACCCCCCAGGCCCTCCAAGATACCCTGGAAGAGACCCCCCCCGAAATGAGACCCCCCTCCCTTTATTACGAAATCTGGAGTACCTCTTGCATCCTTGCCTCCTCGGCCCATCCTTACCCACCTTCGATGCCCAGCCTCCTCGAACAGCTGCGACGTGGGCGTCCCCGGGGCTCGCACCCTCCATCGCGCACATCCTTGCTGCCCGTTTCTACGCTGCCCGCTCGGGCCCCGCGTTGGGAGGCCTCCAGCGCCGGGGCAGCCCCCGCCTTCCCAGACCCCCGACGCACACAAATAAACAAATCCCCATACTTTCCTATATTTCCTGGGTTTTTGTCTTCCCCACCACTTCCCATATTTTCCCATATTTTCCTGGGGATCGACGATTAATTGTGTCTGTGTGTGTTTTTTCCCCTCCTGACAGACCCCCGACGTCGTGATTTCTCACAGCGTCGAGGCCCCGAGGTCTGGACCCCCTCCCCGGGACGGGTCCTCCGCCCAGGGCCGCTTCTGGACCTGCCCGAGGCCCAGGAATGGGCCCCTGGAGGCCGAGGATAGCGAAAACCCCCCCGCCGTGACTTTTGTCACAGGCTCGAGGTCTCCTAGATGGGGTCCGAGTAGATGGGGTCGAAGGATCGCGCCGCATCTGCGACGTCGGCGTGGGGAGAACGTCGGGCTCCACATCGAGCCGCATCGCCGATGCATCGACGACACGGCGCGACCCTCCGACCCCATCCACCCGGACCCCATCTACACCTTAGGCGATGCTTAAGAAAACCTAAGTTTTCGGCCAGAGTCTCGATTATTCTTAACGTTTCAATGTAATTCCTAAGATTTTAATAGAAATGTTGGGTTTTTATTCAAGTTCTGAGACCATGAATTTCTTAACCCATGATTTCTTAACCATTTCGCGTGGTGTATCATGAGGGAAAGAAGCACACAGACAGATTGAACCGTCGCTTCCCAAGAACAGATGGGAAGCCATTCGAAGTGGGGGGGGGGGACGAAGACCGGGACAATATGGGGAACCCTGATCTTGTTCCTCGTGCGTGTATTTCTTTGTCCAGGAGGCCGAATCAGAGCAAACGCGAGGGGGGTCCCCCCGTGCCCGCGCAGGCCGCCCCCCCCCCCCCCCCCCCCCAGATCATTGAATCCCGAAAAAAAAACCAGGCGCGACCGGTCGCGACGGCAGCGCTCCGGTCGCGCTCGGTCGCGGCGGTAAAGTCGGCAGCGCTCGGTCGCGACCGACTCGTCGGCAGCGGCCGGTCGCGCGTCGGTCGCCCGCCCGGCGCCCAGGGCCTCCTCGCGGACTTGGCGGCGGCCGGAGGGCGGGCCGCCGCGAGCGCGCGGGAGGCCGCCGCGGCCCCGCCGACTTGCCGCCCCGCGGGGCTCGGAGGGCCCGCCGCGGCGGGGCTGCGCGCGGGCTGCTGCTATGGACTGTGCTCCTCGCCCTCTCACGAGGGCGATCTCGGCGCCGATGCTCCTGGCGAGGGGGCCCTGCTCCTCCTCCTCCTCCTCCCTCCTCCTCCCTCCTTCCTCCTCCTCCTCCTCCTCCTCCTCCTCCTCCTCCACCTCTGCCTCCTCCCTCCTCCTCCCTCCTTCCTCCTCCTCCTCCTCCTCGTCTTCTCCTCGATCTCTCCTGGCATCAGATCGAGGCCCCGAGGCTTCGCAGGGAGGCCACGAGGCGTCGCAGATGGGCCAGGCGACGTCCATGCCGTCAAGACGCCGAAGCTCTAGGCCTCCTGGACGGCGTCCGAGTGGATGGGGTCGGAGGATCGCTCCACATCGCCGATGCATCGGCGATGCAGCTCGATGTGGAGCCCGATTTTCTCCACGATGGTGTCGCCGATGCAGCGCCGATGTCGCCGATGCATCGCCGATGCATCTGCGATGTATCGCCGATGTATCGGCCATGCGGCGCTATCCTCCGACCCCTATCTACTCTGACCCCATCTAGGAGGCCTCTAGTTCGTGCAGTCAAAACGCTGAACCAGGGACCGCTTTGCGTGATCGTTTGGAACGCTTTGGCAAGCACAGCGTGCGCGAGAGGGGAACCAGGAGAAGGAGCCAGAGCCAGCCACTGCTCCGTACGCCCGTACGCCCCCCAACCCCTTCCTCCCCACAGCACGCGGGAGAGGGGAGGAGAGGAGGAGAGTGTTTTGACCCTCTGGGCCATAACCCGCGGTATGCCACCTACCCTCCCCCCCCATCCCCCCTCCCAATAACGCCCGTTATGGCCGCGAAAACGATGCGCTCGAAGCTTTCGGACGTTCCAGCATGTCCACTGCTTCCAGCATGTCCAAGACCTCCAGGATGCCTGGGGCTCCCCAGTGTCCCGTACGGGCTGCAGAAACCAGGGGCGCTAGGTACCGTGGACGTCTTGGAACGTGTTCTGAGCCAATCCTATCATGATACCATTCACCTCCCCAGTTGTCGTCATTTTCGGGGGCGGAAAAGAGGGGGGTGATGACTAGGGGGGGGGTTGGATATCATGGCGGGGGCCATGATTTTTCCCCAGATTTCATGGCGCCTCTTCTTCTTTCATTACGTCCCTGGCCCCCCCGCTGGGCCGCGCACATGCCGCCGGTCATGATTTGCACCCCCCCCTCTTGGACACCCCCCTCTTTGCCGCTCCCGACATTTCTCTCGGAAAGCATCAAACGACACAAACATAAACTCTCGGAGGTCCGCGCGGACTTCTTGGATCGGCGCTGGGCCTCTCGGGCGGCACCTCCGTCGCCTCCCCTGGCGCGCTTGGCGCGCCAGGGAGGGGACTCCGGCGCCGATCCGAGAATTTCGTGCGGGCCTCCAACAATTGATGCTTATGTGCTTGTTTCTTGTTCTCGGATCGAGGTTCCAGATTTTTAGCACGTTCTCGTTGGCTCTCGGCGGTTTTCTGCCTCGGGGAGGTGCTCCAGCAGCTGCGCCTCGCCCAGGGCGTTCGCCGCCGGAGGTCCGAGTGCTGGCCCGAAGGCCAGGCGAACCTTCGCGGGGTGCGCCCTCCCGGCTCTGCCTGGCAAGAGTAACACAGCGAGGACGCTGAAGTAGTCCATGCCTCCCAGCTGGGGCCAGAGTAGATGAGTTCGGAGGATCGCGTCGCATCGACGATGCATTGGCGATACGGCCGGATGTGAAGCCCGATGTTCTCTACCCCGACGGCGCCGATGCATCGCCGACGTCGCCGATGCATCGCCAGTGCATCGTCGATGCAGCGGGGATGCGGCGCGAGCCTGCGACCCAATTGGGCGGCCTCCAGTGGATGCGCCCTCTTGGCCTGGTCTGGTATGGGGCAGTACAGTCAAGACGCTGAAGTGAGGACCACTCTCTGGGCTCGGGAGGGGGTTTTGAAGGGGCTCTGGTGTCCGGGGGCCGTCCTCAGATCTGGGTCGGGGAGGCTGTCCGTGCAGGAGGGGACACAACACACAGACACCATGAGTCGTCGGCGGTTCCAGAGGAACACCTGGGGAGGCATGGACAGTGGGGGGGGAGACGGGAGCCCAGAACGCAGGGAAGAATTTATGGGAGGGACCCTGGGAGTTGTGTCTCGCAGCGTCCTGCTCTGCATGTTGAGCGTGGGTTGGCGCCCTCTTGGCGGCTCCCTCCAGTCGTGGCCTGGCCTTTACGAATCATCTGGCATTGCGTCCCACTGCCTATTGACACGCCCTCTGGACTTTTCCTTGCTTGCCATCCGGGGGGAGGCATGGGCAGTGGGGGGGGAGACGGGAGCCCAGAACGCAGGGAAGCATTTTTTTGGGAAGCCCTGGGAGTTGTGCCTACTTCTTTGTGTGGCACGCAGGAAAAGAATTTCTGGGAAGCCCTGGGCGTTGTGTCTGAGGAGGCAGAGGTGGAGGAGGAGGAGGAGGAGGAGGAGGAGGAGGAGGAGGAGGAGGAGGAGGAGGAGGAGGAGGAGGAGGAGGAGGAGGAGGAGGAGGAGGAGGAGGAGGAGGAGGAGGAGGAGGAGGAGGAGGAGGAGGAGGAGGAGGAGGAGGAGTGTGTGTGTGTGTGTGTGTGTGTGTGTGTGTGTGTGGGCCCCTTCGCTCGTGGCCGAGAGGCCCGCCGTGGCCGGACGGCGCTGCTCCGTGCCTTCGTGTGTGTGTTTTTCCTTGTGCGCCGGCGCGCGGGGGCCGCACGGGGAGGCCCCGGGCCCGGGGGCGGGCCCGGCCAGGCGCGGTGTCGTGCAACGGGCAGGGGCGGAAAAGAGGGGGGTGATGACTAGGGGGGGGGGTGGATCTCATGGCGGGGGCCATGGTATTTCCCCAGGTTTCATGGCGCGTCTTCTTATTTCAGTGCGTCCCTGGCCCCCCCGCTGGGCCGCGCACGTGCCGCCGGTCATGATTTGCGCCCCCCCTCTTGGACACCCCCCTCTTTGCCGCCCCCGAGTAACGGGCAGGGTTGGCGTCGTCCTCTCGGCATCGCTCGGACGTGTGCACTTTTCCTTCGGCGAGGTGCCTGGTGTGTGTTCCTCGCACGCCGGCACGGGGGCCGCACGGGGAGCCTGGGCCCGGGGTTGGCCCGGCCAGGCGCGGTGTCGTGTACAGTCGGGGCCCTGAAGAAGGAACCCTTTTCGTTGGGGAGGGGCTCGGTGTTCCTTGATTGTTGTGCAATTTGCCTTAGGTTCCCCTAAGGTTTTCCATAGGAGATCGAAGTTTAACTTTTGGGAAAAAGGGACCTCGTTCCTTATTTAGGGTTCCTTAGGGCAACGCCCCGACTGTAGGGTAAGGTTGGCGTCTTCCTCCAGCCGTGCCCGCGGGCTTTCCCAGGGGCTTTTCGGGGGAGGCCTCCGAGATGGGGTCGCAGTGGATGGGGTCGGAGGGTCGCGCCGCATCGCCGATGCATCGGCGATGCGGCTCGATGTGGAGCCCGACTTGCTTCACGTCGACGTCGCCGATGCATCGCCGACGTCGACGATGCATCGCCGGTGCATCGCCGATGCATCGCCGGTGCATCGCCGATGCATCGCCGATGCATCGCCGATGTATCGGCGATGCGGCGCGATCCTCCGACCCCATCTACTCCGATCCTTTCTAGGAGGCCTGAAGCTTTCCTAGGGGCTTCTGTCGCTGGCGCCCGTATCTTCGAAGGAGAGAAAACAGGGCAGGCCACAAGCCGAGGGGGGTCTGACATGGGAAAATGCAGGCAAGCAGGCCGGAAGTCCAAGGGAACATGCAGGTGTTCGAGGCACGCGGCAGGAGGCTCTTTCAGGCCAAACGAGTTGCATGTTGAAAGCAAGTTCAAAGCGCGCAGGGTAATTACTTGCTACAAGCAGCCAGCAGGCACGCGACAGGATGCATGCAAGGGACAGACAAGCTAGATGCAATCTTGTAGTGGATCAGCATGTAATGAATCTTGACGCAGGTTGCCAATCACTACACACATGCTAAGGGGAAGTGGCAGGCAAGCTGCAGGCCAGATATCCACAAACTACAGGCAACCGATTGGCTAGCCAGAACAAGCTTAGCATGTATTTAGCAAAGTATCCCAAAAACACGTTCAACATCCACATGGGACCACCTTGGATGACATAGACCAAAAGGTGAGGTTGAAACTAGCCCTCCCTGTCGGAGCCCGAAAGATCGCCTCTTGGATCCTTTGCGGAACACTCTGGGGTCGCTCTTGAGGCCCATTGGGGTCGTCTTGGATGCGTTATGGGGTCCTCTTGGGGCTATAGTGGGTGAGCTTGCAGCAAATACGACGCCTCATAAGCACACTGGCGACACTGCACAAATCATGGAGAGCCCTCAGACAGCCCCAGAGCGGCTCGCGAGGGCCCTAGAGGGCCCAAAGAGGGTTCCAAGCTAGGCCCATGAGGGCACCAAGAGGGTCCCAGACAGCTCCATTTGCTGAAAACGCAAATCACTTTGCATCGCTCGGAAGTGTGCATTTGGTCTCGGCGAGGATCTGCGAGGAGCATCTGAGATCATTTGGCGAAAAGAGAAAATCACGAGAACCGAAAATATGCACGGGGAATGCACGTCCGAACGATGGCAAGATGGGGGAAACCGCAGTTGGCACCCCGAACGGCCCCTGGAGGAGCCCAGAGGCTTCCACAGGCCGCCGCGAGGGTCCCGAAGAGGCTCTCCCCCCGAGAGGCCCCCCAAGAGGCCCCCCCCTTCCATGTAAGCCCCCGACGTCCTCCCGAGAGGACCCCAAGAGACACCGGGGGGGGGCACCCAGGAGGCTTCCAGGAGGCTGCCGCGCACGGGTGCGAGCGCGTGCGCGCGTGCACCTCTTGCCCCCGGTTTCCGGTGAGGGCTTCCCCTCACACTGCGGGCGCGCCCCTCCCGTCGTGCCGTGCCACGGGGGCGGTCCGGGGACGGCCCCAGGGGGCTCCAAGAGGGCCCCACGACACGCCC